CCTCCTTCTCCCCAAGTTCTTCGTGCTCCAAGTTGCAAAAATCCCAAGTTATTTGGCCTTCTCCAACAGCTCTCCACGCTCCAAGTTGCATAAGAAATGAAGGAAAAGCCCCTCAAACATTTCCATCATTTATAGAATTTCTCCCAACAAAAAGACGCATCTGCATGCTAGAACCGTCAACTTGTTCATACAGGCACTTAGGCGCCCATGGTTGGCATTGCGCCGCAACATTAGGCGTTGCATTATAACGTCGACTTTCTGAGGGTTCAGGAAAATAAAGTCACAAACAGTAAGTATTACCACTCTCTAAATCGTCTCAAACTCTCTCCTTAAGTCAAAGACTCTTTGCAAGTTGTTTGGCCTCCTCCCCAAGTTCTTCGTGCTCCAAGTTGCAAAAATCCCAAGTTATCTCTCCAACTCCAACAGCTCTCCACGCTCCAAGTTGCATAAGAAATGAAGGAAAAGCCCCTCAAACATTTCCATCATTTATAGAATTTCTCCCAACAAAAAGACGCATCTGCATGCTAGAACCGTCAACTTGTGCATACAGGCACTTAGGCGCCCATGGTTGGCATTGTGCCGCAACATTAGGCGCTGCATTATAACGTCGACTTTCCGAGGGTTCAGGAAAATGGCTAAAAACTCCTCATTGTCTGGCGCCTAGGCACCCAATATCCAGTGCCTAAGTGACACCCTCACGGAGACAGATTTCTAGGCCTCGATCTTTGCACATCTAAAACTGATTATGGTGCCTAGGTGCCCAGTCCTGGCGCCAACACTATTTTGTTCATTTTTGTCTTCTTGTTTCGAACTTCAGTTGCTCCCTTTACCTGATTCCTACAATACAACACTAAAACCCTTCTTAAAGCATAATATAAATATACAAACTAGTAGAATTAAGAGACATCATGTACAATTTATAAACATATCAAAAACCCCCAAACTTAAACATCACTTGCCCTCAATTAATCTCAAAAATTAAATTTTGATGTAAAAAGAGTTCATAAATAGTGGGTTATTGTCAAAAACCATCCACAATCCAAAATTTTAAAATTCACATACACAAAGGCACAACTGAATCTAATGAGTTGTCTTTCCGAAGTAATCCTTAATGTAATCCATAAAAGTATGTAAATCTATAAATTCACTCTAAAATGTTTTGGGTGGAGCTTAACTAATACAATTGAAAATGTCATATTTTAAAACTTTAGCCACCTATTAAATCAAATTGGTAAGCATATAATTTATAAACACAGAGATTGATTTTAATTGGAAATGTCCATAAGCTTTTTAATTTATGGAAAAAAGTGAAACCAAGTTTTTAATAGAGCTACTCCTCAAGCTTCTCCCCTAAAGTTTTTTCAGCATTTAATCTTTTTGCTCATGAACCTACTTTTGGATTGATTTTTCTTAATTTTTTTTTTTTTATATATACAAATATTCTCTTTTCCAACTTAACACAAAGGATTATTATATGTGGATTAGCTCATGAAAATATTGGATTCCATTATTACCACCATAAATAAAATTTAAAACATCCCTTTATGATTCCAAATTTATGATATAAAAACTAAAACTTAAAACTCTATTACTAGAGACTAAACTTCTAAAAATGTCAATCTAATTGCAATTAATTAACCATATGCCAACATCATCCTAGAATTGAATACATAGATCCGATAGGCTTATATCAAATTCCATAGTTCAAGATCTACTACGTCAGTAAACCTCAAATAGAATTTATGACACCTATTCATGTGATTTTATCATTCCATATTGGTTCAATTTTTAGCTCGAACATCCCTTTATGATTCAAAATTTATGATATAAAAACTAAAACTTAAAACTCTATTACTAAAGACTAAACTTCTAAAGATGTCAATCCAATTGCAATTAATTAACCATATGCCGACATCATCCTAGAATTGAATACATAGATCCGATAGGCTTTTATTAAATTTCATAGTTCAAGTTCTACTACGTCAGTAAACCTCAAATAGAATTTATGACACCTATTCATGTGATTTTATCATTCCATATTGGTTCAATTTTTAGCTCGTTCCTACTACGATTAAAAAAAAATGAATCAAAATTTAAAGCTTTGATTTCATTCAAGGGAAAAGATCTTAAAGGAACAAAATCCCCTCAAACTTATCAAATGCAAATATATCAAGTTAAATTAAACAAAAATAGATATACTACAAGTGTAACAACATCATATATATGCAAGCTACTTGCAAAAAATATATAGAAGATACCATAAATAACTTAAATCCAAACAACATCATAAACTTAGTACAATACATTCAGATATATTGCAAGTGTAACAACAACATATATATGCAAGTTACTTGCAAAAAATATATAGAAGATACCATAAATAACTTAAATCCAAACAACATTATAACCTTAGTACAATACATTCATAAAACCGCCATCAAAGTTTGTCCAGATAAATTACAAACCTTACAAATAAGTCTCAATAACAACATAATACATCACAGGCATAAGTAGCAAAAGCAAGTAGTCAGAACAGAACATGAGCATCATCAACAATCCTCTTCTTCTTCTTTTGAGTACTCCTCTATCTGTCCATGGGTGTTGTCATAAATATTATAAGGTGTATATATAGGAAAAACCACTAGATCGGGTCTTTCAAGACGTTGGTTTCTCCGATACAACTCTAGCTATGCTGCATGAAAATCAGCAATATAATCAAACTGTCACTTATTCTACAAATTCATGTGGGGGTAGCGATCTGCCAAATCGTACATCTCTGACTTGATGATGGATGTATCTTCAGCCAAGGTATCCAAACGGCTCAGACAGAGATAGAAGCAATAGTAAAGAAAGGGTGAGACCTCAAAGAGGAAGAAGGCCGTGCAGAGCTCTCATCTCTCTCGAATGAAGGATGACTATACCACCCCCCAAAACTCCTCTTCCTTACCTTCTTAATAAGGACAATAGTTCCCCCCAACTCTCATGCCTGACACGAAGGAAAAATAGTTGGATGATGTTCCAATTCAATGGTGGACCCAAGATTCATCATTTTTTAATGGATTGATTAACTATTTCCCCAACATCAATTAAGGGCAGCTCACTCATGGGTCACCTCACTCAAATTATTGGAATGAAATAATAATGACTCATGAGTGAAAAGGATTCTCAGAATAGTGTTGTGCTAACCCTTGATCTTAATTTACATTCTATATGACCAGCAGAATATTAAAAATCTATTCTGAACTTTGAGATCCGAAAGGAAAAAGTGTAGAATGGAACGGGTTAATCACATAAACTCAAAGGAATATGAATATATCCTATGTGTTTATGTAATCAATAGGGAGTTGATTTTGTTTGGGCTAGACATGGGATTTAGAGAACTAAGCTCATGATAACCAATCTTTCTTAAACCCACCAAAAGGGGATAAGAAAAACTATGCTTCTGAATGATATTATGTCTTAATCACATCCTCAATTTTGTTTTTCATTGAACCAACTCAAGGGGAAAATTTTCTAAAACTTGACCTCCTTCTAATTTTTTCTTACTCGTTAGGATAGACTTACTTTCTAAAAAGTAGGATTGAGAATCATTTTGACTTGCTAATTAAACTTTTCAAGTTATTACCAACTTTAGTAAACTAGAAAATCTAACAAATTGGGTTTATCTTATCCATGTGGAATCGACATTCAGAACTCTAAACCAGTACTTCTAATATGCTGCATATATTTGCATGAGTCATCGGTGCTTCGCATCACTTGGAACATGTCAGTTACTCATTTACACTACACTCTCACACCTTGGCACTACCCCACTACTAACTTTCATGCTCCACTCTCCCTCTTGCTACAGTGCTCCTTTTCAATGCACTACACCAACAAACCACTATTTACAATACAACCCAAAATACCATTAAGTAGACATCACAATGGTGTTTCGACAAAGTTTCACCTCACTTGTACTCTCTCTTTCTCCTTCATCTCTCTCCTTTTAACTCATGAATAGTCTTCCTAAAGATAGGAATGTGAGCAACAAATTGTTCAATAAAAAATTGCAAATAGTTAAGGTCTAAACTTTAACACATTTGGGGGCCACTATAATCAGTTCAATAGAGTTGGCCGAGTCTAAAGAATTAAATATAATTGATTAAGGTTGATGATGATTAAATATAATTGACCAATGTTGCATTTGGGGGCCACTATAATCAGTTCAATAGAGTTGACCGAGTCTAAAGAATTAAATATAATTGAGTAAGCTTGATGATGATTAAATATAATTGACCAATGTTGACTAGAGCTGATTGAGGTTAATATGTTAAATGCTTTGAGCTATTGAAGTAAGGAAATGATTAGTAGCAGTGTAGTGCGTTTGGAGACCTACTTATATTTTGGGAAAAAGCAATGTTCAACTTAATAAACATGGTTAGTTAAAGTTGAATAGAGAGAGTCAACTAAAGCTACAATGTTTAAGATTTAGGAAACAAATAGAAGAAAAATAAGATGTAACACAATCCAGGACCTACACACTTTTAATAGCATCAAAGCGAACCCTAGACCCTTTTTGAGAAAACAAGCTAAGTCAGGCTTGGAAAATAATAATTATACCTATTTAGTAAATTTAAGGGATCAAAAATAAGTCGACATAATTGCAGCCAAACAATCTCAATCAAACTAAACTGAATAAATTTTATTCGATCAATCACATGGTCATGGAATTACTGCTTAAATTACCCTATGTTGGTGCTATTGAGCAAAAGGCATGACCAACGATGTGACTCTAACCTCTACTAGAATTTACATTTTTTTCTTATAAAATAACCACTTTTAAAAATGTTTGCTTTGTTAATCATTTTGTTTTTATTTTTTGGTCCGGGCGGGAACAACTGCTCAAAAATTGCCTTTCTAAGAAAAAAGATTGGTCAGCATACATACTTTTGCAAGAATAAATATGATTTCAAACCTTCCATTCCTTCAAAATAAAAATTACAAACGAGCATACTCACAGGAAATGAAGCTGCGTAAGCTGGCCAATGGAAGGAGGAATAGTTCCCACTAAAAGATTGCTTGACAAATCCCTGCAGTTAATGGAGCCATTATCAACACAGCAAAATGAAACATAAAGCAGAAAGAAGAACAACTGAGGTGGTCCAGAAAACAAACAGAATAGTGAGATGTTTAAGCTCCCCAATCTCAGGAGGAATGCTTCCTTGGAGGTAATTAGCTCTCAAATACCTTCATAATATATAAAAATAATAATAATAACAATAATAATATATATATAAATCACAGACAATAATGCCATAATTCCAAAAGTAAAAAATATGAAAAATTCCCAAAACAAAATCGGAAAGGATCACACACAAAGCTCTCAGCTCGGTGCAGTTCTTGATCTCTACAGGAATCGGTCCATGAAGGCTGTTCTCATGTAAAGCACTGCAAAAAACCCCAAAAACAAAAAAAAAAGGAAAATCATAAAAATTTTCAGCCCTAGTCACCATTACTCCTCGGATTACGAGCCCTTACAGTCTATGCAGCCTCGTCAGCTTGCCAATGCTAGGAGAAATAATGCCGCCAAGCTGCATGTATGGAAGACTTCTGCCCAACATTCAAAATATTCAGCAAAGGAGTACATAAAAAAGGTAACAAGGAGTAAGAAGATGCTAATCAGTAAAACAACAACATTGATCTAACTCTAAGATCAGGTAAATGGCAAGTAACTCCAGCCCAACCACAGGGATTTGGGTCTTTCTCCGTCCAGCTTCTAAGCATCCAGTTGGTGCCATTGAACCCCTCCTTGAGCTCCAATAACGCCATCCCTACAATGAATCATAGAACTGAGATAACGAAATAGGGCGAAGAAGTATCATAATGACAAGGAGAGCTACCATCGGGATTTAGGGCGCAGGAGAAATGGAGCGCCACGGCAAGAACAAGAACAAGCACTTGGGAGAAGAAAAGGGAAGCCATGGCCGAAAGGAAGGGTTCTACGTTGGAGTCTTGAAGAGAAAATGGGTTATGAAGAAGCAAAAGGGTAATAATGTGGTGGGGATTCGTCCTTTTGGGCTTTAGTTATTGCAGAAGAAGGGATGAGAGAGAAGGAGGGGGACAGGGGTAGTAAATATATTGGAGTTCGTGCGGTGTATGCGATAAGGGAGAGACTAGCCGTTGGACTGGCGATTTCAAAATGTTCGCTGACACTGCTGGGCGTCGTGGTATAAGAAAAGCAAAGGAGTAAGGGCTTCATTTGTTTGGCAATGTTATGCATATTTTTAGCAACTACTCAAAATATAATGTATAAGAAAAATAGCAACTAGTTAATACATAATATATAATATATAA